ACTCGATTTATCAAATATTCGGCTGAGTGGAATAAAATATTAAATATCACTTAATCAAGGGGTCGTTTACATATTATAATTATATAAAGGGCCTGATGCCGCCGGCCGGGGTTTTCCAAATTATTATGCTCGCTAGTGTGATTGTGACATAATACTAATAGCTTAATAGCTATGTATGGAACTGATTACTAACAATGAGGGGTCGTTCACATACCCCGTAATCAGTTTTACCATAGCTATTATATTTATGTAAATATTACACTAGCGTAATCAATAATCATTTGAAAACCCCAACCTCCTCAGCTGATTACGTAATACTAATATGTAAACGACCGTCGACCCTTAACATTTCGGGATCGGAAGAAAGCGGCACGTACTATTTCGACGAAATTTATACAAGTTACTAACATCGTTGATTCATGATGCCAATCTTTCACAGCTCAGTGGTGCATTTCGCCGAAAAGCATTATTGGATACCGAGAAGCATTTTTGGATGCGCGGCGCGACACACTCACAGTATTGCATCGCGTTGATTCACGATGTCAATCCTTCACTGTTCATGTTCACAGCTCGGCGAGGCCCAGTCATGGTGCATATCGCCAATTTAGTAACATAGTTGGTCAGTTCGTACAAAAGTCTTAAAAAATTCGTACAGTTCGGCACGTTTTTTCAGTTTGGGATTAATTTGGGAAAAATTCGCCTCCTAAATTTTCGAAATATATAATAATAAAAAGCTAATTGCAAAAATTGGTGTTAAAATGGCGGGAAACGATGACGTGCGGATGCATGTTAATATTTAAATCTGAAATGTAACCTCCCGGACAAAAATAACAAATTTTTCGGACTGAAGTGATTACTGATTAAAAAACAAAAATTTTCTAAAAATTCGGTAAAAATTCCTCGACAGCTTTTTAAAATTTGTACAGTTCGATACCTTTTAAAAGTTCGTACATAAAGTAACGTACTGACCAAGTATGTTTAGTAAAGCACTAGTGGTTGCAAGAAGCATTATATTATTGGCTGCGCGGCGCGGCCCAGTAGTGCATCGCGCTACAACAAACATCGTCAATTAGATTACTCGAAGCTCAAAGCTGTAAAGTATTTATCCAAAATAATTCCGATCCCGAGGATTGTTACTGGGCCGCGCTCAGCCTGTCATTCCGCCAAATATTTATTCGCCAAATCTTAATGTTTATGAACATGTACATAATAGCCCAGGGACAAAAGGATTTCGCGATTATTTTGGCCAAAAATCGCGATACCGCGAAATTTAACAGGCTATACATTAAACTATACATAAAATTTGTCGCGGAGAATGGGAAATTTCGCGATTTCGTACATGCCGCGAAATCCTTTTGTCCCTGTAATAGCCTGGGTTCCCAGGTAAGAGGATTGACATAACTTATAAATTTATAATATATTAATTCTAAATACTGAATGCATCGCATTTTAAGGGTTTTGGTATTTTCGTAGCTAAATTGCACTAAAGCTTTCGCGCTTGCACTTCACACTTGCGCGTAGTTCGTAAACTGAAAACTCGTGGGTACGATATATGTGATACTGATTACTGAACAATAAATTCGGCTCGACTCTCATTACATTCTTTTAATAACTTGCTGTGCGAGATTTCAATACTATTAATTTGCAAATGCTAATTTAACATTTAGATCTTTACATCATCTTCTTTCACATAGCCATGTGTCTAAGCGTACTACTAGCGAGAGGGCTATGGTTAGAGCATAAACAGGTTATACTGGACGAATCTCACTCGTTAACGGGTGATACTCGTAATTTACTATCACGCCGTCACGCGCCGCTTTTTCTCAAAATATTAGTCTAAGCCTATACCAGCCGGCAAAGTTTTTATATGTAACTTACATACAACGTTAAAATTTAGTTGAGTTTTGAACGTTGCTTATAGTTGATAAGGTAACCTTGATCTGACGTCAAATAATAAACGTTTTGCAACGTTAAAAATAAAACCTATAACCAACGTTAGATATTTAACCTTTAACAACGTTTTATAATTATATGTAACCTACATACAACTTTAAAATGTAGTTGAATCTTAAACTCTGCTTATAGTTAGTAAGGTAACCTTGATCTGACGTCAAATAATAAACGTTTTGCAACGTTAAAAATAAAACTTATAACCAACGTTAGATATTTAACGTTTAACAACTATAGCCATAGCTATAGCTGTCGCCGCGATATCTAGCGCTAGATAGCGCTATCTAGCGTTAACTGTCACAAACCGATATTCTCCGCTAGATAGCGCTATCTAGCGCTAACAAGCGTTATCTAGCGGAGAATGTCGGTTTGTGACAGTTTACGCTAGATAGCGCTATCTAGCGCTAGCTGTCGCCGCGATATCTAGCGCTAGATAGCGCTATCTAGCGCTATCTAGCGTAAACTGTCACAAACCGACATTCTCTGCTAGATAGCGCCAGATAGCGCTAGATAGCGCTAGATAGCGCTGCGTCAGATGTCGTTGCGACATATAGCGTTAGATAGCGCTAGATACCGCTAGATGTCGCAAAAAAAAGGGCGGAAATTTTATGAAAATAGCGCTATCTGTCGCCTGGCGTCAGTGCTGCGTGCTTAGCGTCATCTAGCGTCATCTAGCGTCATATAGCGTCATATAGCGTCATATAGCGTCATATAGCGCTAGATAGCGCTAGATAGCGCTAGAAAGCGCTAGATAGCGACATTCGAAAGGTGCCGTGCACTTAGCGACAATGTCGCTAATTGGCGTCATCTAGCGTCATCTAGCGTCATCTAGCGTCATCTATCATCATCTGGCGATATTTCACGCTAGATGACGCTAGATGACGCTAGATGACGTCATATGTCGAATTTAAACTATCAGTAAAGGTCCGAAATCTTTCCTAAAAATTAAGTTTCAATATATGTTCAGAAAGCAGGTTCCATAATTACTGCTTTTTGAACATTTCTCTCGAACTTAGTAAGGGTATATTTTATGTTTTATATAATATTGTAAATATATCATAGAATCTTAGGCATACTTGGCTTGCTGACACATATTGTGCTATCCAGAGCGAATACTTCAGTTGTTTTGTCATCGATAATTACTGGTTCCCCTTTGTAGATCCAACACGACTTTCCATCTACGCTGACTGCTATTTTAGCTAAATTCCATGCATCATCTCCACTGTTTCTAATCCTCACTGCCAAGACGTTCCCGACGTTCACAGAGTCGGTTATGGAACAGGAGCTGGTCACACCCACATTCCTGTCAGCAACACAATCATGCTCTGCTGTCTGGCCTGAGATTTAAGAAGGAGATGTTTGTTATTTAACATGTTTTTGATAAGATATTTGTTATTTAACATGTTTTTAATAAGATGTTTGTTATTTAACATTTTTATGAAAATATTACTTGTTCCTATGAATAATGAAAACTCTTGGAAGAATACTAGTTGCTACAAAATATTATTATGCTAAGTAAAGATAGCTTCGTTCTTAATATTTGTGAGGATTCCAAAAGAAGATAATATTAACCTGCACTTCCGATCATTGTATAAATATATCCAGATGTTGCTCCTCCATCCCATTCGCCGATGTTTCCTGTCGTCTGTGTGAAAACATACTCCACTGAAAGGGATATTAAATGTTTTGATAATTGAGATAAGATACTCCATTACTTTGTAGGGCAGGGTTTATTAGGGAATATATTCATCTTAAAAATAAACTATATGTTGCGTACGGTAACCACGGTAACCGCGCTATATTACGACAAGGTTCCATGCAACAGACGGCAGTTTTGCAATATACCGTCGTAATATAGTGCGGGAACCGCACTCAAAGTTTCTATGCTATGCTCTTTGATTAGTATTTAACACATATACTAAATAAATGGTAGAATAATTTGAATGAAATAATTCGAGAACAATCAGAATAACACCTCGAACATTACCTTTGATAAGGGACAACTCCACTTTGTTGAACAGAGTTCCTCCACCTTGCAGTTTAGTTACATTCCTGTTATCTGGGATAGAGAATTACGCCAGTTTAATCTTAATATATAATATGGAATGTGGATATGAAGATGATTAGCAATAACAAGGTTCGGCTATGAGCATGATCCTAAGTCACACAGAAGTTGTTTTATAATAATTTCCTGATTCAGTAATCGGTACTGGTATTCAGTTTCAGTTTTCACGGGAAAAGGGCACGAACCTATAAAACAATCCATGTTGCCTGCTTTTAGACCCGCGAGGGTTACTGCTCCATTACCATATTTCTTACTCTTCGACCAGCAATTGTTTAGTGGATCTTGCGAAAAAGCACTGTCGTCATAGACGATCATGAAAGATTGGCAATCAGCCAGATCTTTGCACTTCTTGTAACAATCTTCTATTCCAGTAGAGGTTTGTGCTTTTAAGTCACATCCGGGGTAGTCTGTATCTTTGTCCATGCACTGCCAATCTGAAATATGAAATAAAAATAATTTAAGGGTTCATTAAGACGTCACTGTACTTATAGTATTCCATCTTTTTCTTTTAAATTTCTACAAATTAAGTTTTTAAATTGTTTATCTATAAATTTACTGGTTTTAGTGAAAAGAGTAAGTTCCAGCTGGTCTCCGTTAAAGGTTGCGGCATATCCGTTACTGGTTACTTTAATGAAGTATTCGTATATCTCCCCAGTAGATAGTTGGTTCGTTAGGATCTTTGTGAACTGGACAAAATTAAAATTAGATCTTTGTAAGGTTATTCAAATTACAATTCAATGGCGAGTTGCTCATGAGGGAAATTATCATCAAAGAAGCAAACAAATATATTATAGATAGCCTGATCCAAATTCATCGCCATAAAAAGGCTAAACCTGAGCTGCTAGTAAGCCCGCCTCAACCTTATTTAACTGAGTATAAGATAGGTCATTTTTTTACATTAATCAGAGAATACTACATCGTACCTGGGTCCGATCATTACCGTATTTTACAGTACTCCCATCTACCTCCACTGTTATGAAGAAGGCTGGAATATCACTTTCTGTTAATAACTTGATCTCTGCTGGTTTATTAACATTGAACTCAGCCCTGCAGATAAATTATATGTTTGAAAGTAATATCTATGGCAAACCAAGATCATGAAGAAGTTTGTAAATTGAAATTTAATGTTATTCTTTATAAATTTGTTTAATTTTTCACTTTTTGAATTGGTATGGAACGATATTTGATGTTTTGAACGTTCTCCTTACCTGACATGAAGAATGGATCCTACTGTTAAAGTGTCACTGATAGGCTCTATCATAGAACTGGATCCGAGCTCCCTCGTCTCCCAGTTAATTGATAAGTCTTTGATAGCTGCAGGGAGAAATGTAGTATTATACCTCTCCTGATTCAAAATTATCTTCTGTAAAGACAAAAATCAACAAACAAAAGTTTATCATCTCAGAATATATTAAGTATGTTTCAACATTGTTATTCTTAGTTCTTACATACCTTGACTGACTGTAGCTGTAGCTGTTAATACAGATACAAACAGAGCTATACTCAACATTCTCGTGCTGTGTGTCCAGAACTAAATCAGAACATCTTCAAAACCTTCTAGCTGCAGTTGAATAAGAAGGTTAAAAACCTTTAGTTGTTAAGTACTTAATAGTATATAATATAGATGAACAATAACCTGCACTCCCAATCGGTAAAAGTGCAGTGACTCTTATTCAACCAGCACAAGCAAACGGAGTCTAAGTAAACTATAGGTAAAAATATAATATTAATCATAAGCTAAAATGTACTAATCTTTGTATTCTAAATGGGGAAAAAGAAGAAACATTGTCAGTCAGTCGAGAAAATTGTCAGTCAGGCTATATGGCAGCTTTGTAGATGTTGTGACTATGCTAGTAGTGGTCCCAGGCTTGCGAACAGTTTTACTGGGTGTAGATGGTAAACATTCTTATACCGAGCATACTGGCACCAAGGTGGACACAAGCGGTCACCTGAGAAGTAGTAACCGCTGGAAATCCTCTTCTTCTTGATAAGAATCTTATCAACAGTCAGACGATCCAGATGATAGTCTGTTATAACTTGTTGGTCAAGCGACAACCCTAACAGCTCAGAGAACTAGAAGTTAACTTATCGAAACTACTGAAATGGCTGCACAGTTTTATCTTCACGAGAAATCAAGAAATGGCTGCACGGTTTTATCTTCACGAGAAATCAAGAAATGGCTGCACAGTTTTATCTTCACGAGAAATCAAGAAATGGCTGCACAGTTTTATCTCCACGAGAAATCAAGAAATGGCCGCACAGTTTTATCTCCACGAGAAATCAAGAAATGGCTGCACGGTTTTATCTTCACGAGAAATCAAGAATTGGCTGCACGGTTTTATCTTCACGAGAGCTGGATAAATAATTTATCTGCCTCTATATGGTTCAGACAGCTCATTGGTTCAGACAGCTCATTTTATAAAGGTTCCTCAATACATGTCACGTGACTAAGCTTTCTAGCCAATAAAAACCGAGTTTTCAGCGTATGTGGTGTTTGAGGAAATAAGTTAGTATGTGATGGTATTGTTTAGCCTGCTTAATACCATTCTACTGGAATACTGAGCTGCTAGATCCTAGCTAGACGGCACCTAACACATCACAATATAATCTACATCACTGTGAGAGTTAACCTTGGCTAATGATATCTTCACGAGTAATGATTTACCCTGTACTAAAGATAGTGAGGTACTGGAGCAGTTCCTGCTTGAGTTTATTTTATGACAATTCTCCACATAGTCCTAGAGTTAGAGTTAAACTATGAGAGTAAAATTTACTGTCGACGCCGACCAATCAAAAGAAAAAGAGATTAAAACTTCCATGCCATGGGTAATTGCTTGGTCCCCTGTGTGCGCCCTGCCAGTGGGCACCCTGCCAGTGGGCACCCTGCCAGTGGGCACCCTGTCAGTTGGCACCCTGCCAGTGGGCACCCTGCCAGTGGGCAACCTGCCAGTAGGCAAACTGCAACTGCCAGTGGGCACCCTGTCAGTGGGCACCCTGTCAGTGGGCACCCTGTCAGTGGGCACCCCGTCAGTGGGCACCCTGTCAGTGGGCACCCTGTCAGTGTCCACCCTGTCAGTGGGCGCCCTGTCAGTGGGCACCCTGTCAGTGGTTTGCGTGCATTAACAGGTTTGTACTATAATGCGGATTAATTCGAGAACATTTCACTTTTTTTATCGGTAAGAGTGCAGTGAACCATGGGATCCAGCAAAGGTACTGGAAAACGGTTGTACTGGCTGCAGAAAACAGTCGACCAACGCGGACGGTAACTGGGATAGCGACAGTACTAAAACCAAGTGAGAAATTGGTAAAGCAACAAGTCACACTCCTAACAACTCGAGGAGAAGTTAACTTATCAAAACTACTGAAATGGCTTCACGAGAGCTGGACGAATAATGTTTCTGCCTCTAGATGGTACAGAGATCTGATTATATGTAAACCAAGGGTCCTTGAATAATGTATCTGCCTCTAGATGGTACAGAGAGCTGATTATGTAAACCAAGGCTCCTCCTTAATACATGCAAAGCTTTTAGTTCTAGCCAATGAGAACCGAGTTTTCAGCGTATGAGGTATTGGAACAATCCTCGATTAATGTGTAATGGTCTAACCCCGGTCGAAGAGCCCTCATGAATGTGTTGAATGTATTGTTCATCTCGCGCTAAGAAGCCCTCTTATCATCCTCGTACAGTGTAGGTTGTGAACAATTACCTTCCTGGAATACTGTTCTCATAACTGCTACTGAGCAGTTAGATCTACGATTCTACATTATTATTATTGAGAACAGTTAGATTATAATATGATGAACATCACTGTGAGACGTGAGCGTGGTCGTAATGATTAGTAACTTCTGGGCGTAGAAAATATAGTCAGAATAGCTAATGAAATGTTTATAAATTATACCTGTGAAAATTCTCTTTTCCACGAGCAGTGATTGTTTTCGATTGTAGAAAACGATTTGCTTGTAAAAAGCTCTAGGTATAGAATCTGTCTGATGACATCTCAAGAAACAACACCTGTCATTACTGTTCTCCACGAGCAGTGTTTTACCCTCAACTAATGATAGTGGAACACTTGAGCTGCTGAATAATTCTCCCTATTTCCCAAGAGTTAAACTGTGAGAGTACGCCGCACTTATATCACCAATACTAGACTTAGCCTTGTATTTCTATAACGCCGCACTTATATCACCAATACTAGACTTAGCCTTGTATTTCTATAACGCCGCACTTATATCACCAATACTAGATTTAGCCTTGTATTTCTAAGTTCTATAAAGCCGCACTTATATCACCGATACTAGATTTAGCCTTGTATTTCTGTAACGCCGCACTTATATCACCAATACTAGATTTAGCCTTGTATTTCTAAGTTCTATAAAGCCGCACTTATATCACCGATACTAGATTTAGCCTTGTACTTCTATAACGCCGCACTTATATCACCAATACTAGATTTAGCCTTGTATTTCTAAGTTCTATAAAGCCGCACTTATATCACCGATACTAGATTTAGCCTTGTATTTCTGTAACGCCGCACTTATATCACCGATACTAGATTTAGCCTTGTACTTCTATAAACAACACAGTATTTAGTTATTTAAAATCCTTCTCCTCCCCCTCAGGCAGAGCAAGTCGCACAAGAAGAACTTTGCAATTCCTATAGTGACGGTGAAAAGTCTACTGTATCAGATACTGGACGGTATTGATTACCTTCACAGGAACTGGGTCCTCCACAGGGACCTGAAACCTGCTAATATTCTAGTGATGGGAGAAGGTATGTCTGCTGGACATTCTCGTTATTTTAAGCAAATATTTGTGCGTGTTACAATCTAGCAATCGAAAATGGGCCATCGACTTATAAAAACCAGCTGCACGTATTTAAAAATTAATTTATTTACAGGACCAGAGAAAGGAACGTTAAAGATAACAGTCACTTCTTTCTGAGATTATTTAATTTATTTACAGGACCAGAGAAAGGAACGTTAAAGATAACAGACACTTCTTTCTGAGATTATTTCATTTATTTACAGGACCAGAGAAAGGAACGTTAAAGATAACAGACATGGGGTTTGCCAGACTCTTTAACAACCCCCTAAAACCTCTAGCTGAGCTGGATCCCGTGGTGGTTACCTTCTGGTACCGCGCTCCTGAACTTCTACTTGGTAAATAAAACTACAAATATCATGTTATAATGTTTTTTGACACGAAGGGAAACACACAACGTAAGGCTTGAAGTCTTCGTAAAACTACATCATTAGAGCCTCAAATTATTTGTTATATAGTAGTGTTTAAAGTATTAATACTAGAAATATCATCTTATTGAGGATTTATGAGATATTTAATTGGTCAGTGGAAAAAAATACCGTCAAATCTGTGAAATTTCGGTTTAGGAAATATCATATTTTCAGGGGCTAAACATTACACCAAAGCTATTGACACCTGGGCTATAGGGTGTATATTTGCTGAACTGTTAACCACTGAACCAATATTCCATTGTCGGTAAGTTACCCTTAAATATAATGCTTCTGTTACCCTTTAATATAATGCTTCTGTTACCCTTTAATATAATGCTTCTGTTACCCTTTAATATAATGCTTCTGATACCCTTTAATATAATGCTTCTGTTACCCTTTAATATAATGCTTCTGTTACCCTTTAATATAATGCTTCTGTTACCCTTTAATATAATGCTTCTGTTACTATTTAGTATAATGCTTCTGTTACCCTTTAATATAATGCTTCTGTTACCCTTTAATATAATGCTTCTGTTACCCTTTAATATAATGCTTCTGTAACCCTTTAATATAATGCTTCAGTTACCCTTTAATATAATGCTTCTGTTACCCTTTAATATAATGCTTCTGTTACCCTTTTAGATAAGGTAAGTACACTGTTACCCTTTTAGATAAGGTAAATACACTGTTACCCTTATAATACTGTTTTTGCGGATAAATAATCGTATTTCCACTCTGCAGAATAACAGAAATATAACCCACTTATTTGTCAGCTGACTATATCTTTCCCAGACAGGAAGATATAAAGACGAACAACCCCTACCATCATGATCAGCTGGATAGGATCTTTATGGTGATTATTTAGTATTTTAATTGATTTAAAGCCATGGATTAAGAACTCTAATTGAGTTTTGAGCGTTTTGGCTTTCACTCTACTATCGATACTGGTATTTTTAATTTCCAAATCCCCCTCCCCTACTTTGCAATAAACTTTACCAGATCCTGGGGTAATACCCAGATAATACTAATCACGCTGATTTACCAGGTGATGGGATTCCCTTCAGACAAAGGGCCTGGGGAGTGGGAGGACCTGAAGAAGATGCCAGAATACAACACTTTACAGAAGGAGTTCAGCAAGTCTAACTACGTCAACAACAGGTGAACTATCATAGTTATAACACAAATATACCATAATTATAACTATCTTAAGTTATAAAAAGTAGAAATACGTATTGATTTTAAGTTAAACAATAACCCCTAAACCTCTCCTACAGCCTGGTCAGATACATGGACAAGCACAAGCTGAAACAAGACACACGCGCGTTCCAGCTGCTCGCTAAGCTGCTTCACATGGACCCTAAGAAGAGACTAAGCGCTCAGGGAGCTCTAGAGGATCCCTACTTCACGGAGGTTTGTTTCTGACATAGTAGTAGCATAAAGTCATTGTAAAAACAGAAACATAAGGCTTGAATACTATGCACTAATGGGCTACAGTTCTGCCAGCGACCCTAGAAACCACCTTTAGCCCTCGCCGTCCAGGTGATTATATCTCTCAACTCATTTTCCCTGACAATTATCCCTGACAATTATCCCTGACAATTATCCCTGACAATTATCCCTGACAATTATCCCTGACAATTATCCCTGACAATTATCCCTGACAATTATCCCTGACAATCATCCTTGACAATTACCCTTGACAATCATCCCTGACAATTACCCCACGTTTAGGAGCCACTGCCGCGTGATAACGCGTTTGGGGACGACAAAATACCGTACCCGAAACGAGAGTACCTGAACGAGGACGAGGACGGAGAGAAGGGGAGCACTAAACTCGCTTCTGCTAAAACTGATGGGGTTCCTTCAAGTAAACGGATGAGGACACTGCAAGTAAGTAGTAGTAGCAAGTAAGGAGTTATGATATTTTACATCTACTACTGTTCTTCATTGACCTGACATTAGTGCACATTTTGATACTATAATCAGATTTACTTGAATCAAAAAACAAATAATAATAAATATAACCATTGGGGTTTTTATTTTTAACTGATTATGATGTAGATAATAAATTAGTCCATTAGAGACAATCCGCTCACGAGGGGCTTTCAACAACAAAAAACTATAAAACGCTCGTTATAATCCTCCACTAGCCCAACCTGACCACCTATATAGCTATATTTCAGCAACAGAACAAACCAGGCAGTTCAGGCACATACCAGTCCTCCTCCCACTCCTCCACCACCTACCAGACCACCCAACAGTTCCCCGTATCTTCCCAACCCTCCTTCGCTCCGGGCCAGCAGTACACCCAGACTGGGCAGGTTCCCCAGGTTCAGCAGGGCCAGTTCAGTAACCAGACCCAGTTCAACCAGCAGTACCAGCAGCAGTACCACCAGGCCCAGCAACAGAGGCAGCAGCAGCAACAGCAACAGTTCCAGCAGCAGCAACAGCAGCAGCAGTACACTCAGCAGTACGATCAGCACGGCAACTACGTACCTCATAATAACAACAGGTTCTGATGGATCTGTGCTGACACAGTGTAACGTGATGCCCATATAAGGAATTAACCTGATCTGTAGAACTGGGCTGTATTCGAATTGTTTGATGGAATGATATTCAAGAACTGGGAGAGACACGTGATGCCCATATAAGGAGAGACTCGTTTCGTATGAGTTAGTTTCAATATGCGACTTGTTAGAGGGGCCGGGCCTCTATTTTTAAATTTATTATCATTAGTGAACTCAAGTTAAGCTTTTGAATTGACAGAAATCGATGGAGTTGATAAGCTTTTTCAAAAACTGTTATTATATTAATATGCTCGTATCCTTTACGCGATAAAACTGTATGCTTAATTCCTGTTTACATAATTCTTGCAGCACATTTTATTTTTATGATATCTTACTCCTTCATAAAAATTTTTAGACGGTAATATATGATATCTTGTTGCAGATTAACGTTTGTTGTTGAGTGGTAGTTGGAATAGTTGTGGTCGAAATAAAACTGATGTCCTGGCCTACAGAATTCGATCTTCCCGGATATTTATAGAATTATAAAATTTTATGTTAAATGTAGTCTAAATAGTCTACAGTTAACTGCTATCATTACATAATATGTTCGAGAGGCAGGAATGGCCAGATCAGATGTTGAATGATATCTCGTTTAATTAATTATGCCTACCATGGTTTAATTTTCTTCTTATAATATTTTATTTTATTTTTTAAATGTTGTATTTCTATCATGTGTATGGAATTAACTTGTATCCCTTGAAAGCTGTTATCGGAAGTAACTGTATTCTCTTTTTCATTTTACGATGCACGAAAGGTACGAATTCTTGCGGGCCAGGAACTGGTACTGGTACTGGTACTGGTACTGGTACTGGTACTGGTACTGGTACTGGTACTGCACCTGTAACTGTAACTGTAACTTTACCAATTACAAATTGCGTATCTCTTACCAAGGCTAATGAATGTTTCATTATCTTCACATTCCTGGAGCCTCTTCTAATCAGAGACTCCTCAATTATAACATGATTTATGGAAATTAAATACGTTTAAAGACTATAATACATAATAAGTCACCAAGCCTACTATCCTTTAAGATTAGCATTACAATGTGTGATTAAGTAAGTACGGACAATTCTTTCTTGATTGAACACCTGTTAAAGGCGCCCGAGCCACATGTTCTGGTCACCATAGCAACTAGAAACCTGACAAATCGTTGCATCTTAAGCAAAGGCAAGTGGTCAGCGCGCCTTGCCTGCCTTGCCTAGTTTTGTTCTGCTTAATAAAAGGGATGAGGCTTTAATGTTTTACTGCGTGTGTCACTGCACTGTGTGTGTTTCCAGGGCTACGGTTTACTGTGAGTGTCACTGCACTGCGTGTATTTCCAGGGCGAGGTTTACGTTTTTCATGCAACAGCGTTTGTAAGAAATTACAAATAATCCTTTTACTACCATCGTTGTCATGATCGTTATTAATATTTATATTAGCAGTTACAAGTTAGGCTGCTTTAAGTTTAAGCCGCGCAGAAGGTGTCAATACATCAGTTTGGTTGGCCAAATGCCAAAAGCTAACAACTTACTTTTAAAAGTAAGTTGTTAGCTTTTGGCATTTGGCCAACCAAACTGATGTATTGACACCTTCTGCGCGGCTTAAACTTAAAGCATAACCTTGAAGTAACTTGGGATGATAAGAATTGGTCATGTACAATATTAAAAGCTTTTAATATTGTACAAGACCAATTCTTATCATCCCAAGTTACTTCAAGGTTATGGTTATACAAATGTAGCTTTGACTTTTAAGACATTCGAAACATCATTAACATTTGCATTTATGTTTTAGGCACATGCTCGTTATGCTGGAGCCTCGGGTAATGTTAAGTTACATTACATGCAATGAACCCCCGCCCCCCCCCCCCCCACTGGACACCTGCTGCGGTATACTACTATTACTTCCTCATTAACAATGGCTAACTATATAAGGATGATAATATTGTTAGACAGTAATACTAATAACGTAAGACTAAGTTTAAACGTTAGAGTTAGACTTAGCATTTTACCCAAGTAATAGCATGTTTTTTTCATTAACAATGGCCAACTGGACACACGCTGCAACCCCTTTTGTTTGCGCGGCTGGCCGGCGAGAGACACAAGACAGAGCTAGAGGTATGCCACAATGCCATATGCAACGTGTAACAAATAGCCAACTAAGGATGATACTAATGTTATAATAATACTAATATGTAATAGTAATAATAATATTTACTGTTAAAGTCTGTTAGTATTAGTATACGATTTTATCTGTCCAGAGCCCTAAGCCCTTGCGCTTGCAGTGACGCGAAAGCACATGGTGAGGTGAAGTACAACTATACGATAACTATAAACTATAAGTATAGGGTTTGAATATCTGCCTAAGAGCAATGCGGCAATGCCAATATTATCGTGTAATCGTAAATTTAAACGTTAAGAGTTAGTGTTACTGTTAGTGTGTAGTGTTAGTGTTAGAATTCACATAGCCATGAGTCTGCGCGTACTGCGTTTGGATCACAAGTAAAATAGTCTACTGCAAGCGAGAGGGCTCTGGTTAGAGCAACTGTTAGACTAAGCGTTTTACCTAAGTATACTTATAGTAGTTTACCTTATCGGAATTTATTTGAACAGACATTAATTAGACGTTCAAATTTTGGTGGACGTCCTAAGTAGACGTAGATGAACCCTCGATCGTTGTTCGTTCAAATTATGTCAGTTCACGCAATGTCCGGTAAAATACCGTCGGATAAGGTATAGTAGTAGTACTATATATAAATATAAATATCAATGGCAAGAGTTTTAGTGTTTAGGGGAGATTTAATACTTCGTCGCGTCTGCGAGGTCAGTTCACAGTTCACAGCTACTATACAGTTGTGACAGTTTCCTTACTTTATTTCGCGACTCTTATCTTATTGGGCACCGAGCTGCGCTCAGCTTGTCATTCCGGATGATGATTAATCACTCTACACTCGACTGTCACGTGACTTTTTCAACCCCTTCTCTAGCTGGTCCTGAACGACTATTCGAAACCCTAACCCTGTAATCTGATCCCAACCCTAACCCTAACCCAATCCTTAACAAAAGCATATGCTGAAACCCTAACCCTATTGAGAAATTTGACTAAATTCCTTATACGGTCATATCACGTGATCGAGACAGTTTTTCGCCAATATCTCATCAGGGGAGCATTTTAACCCTATGTCATGGGGGGTGATTCGGAATCAGCGTCCGAAAATACATCGATTGAAGTTGGTTTCAACTGTCGGGGACCCTTTTAGAACAATCTCGAAGATCGACTGTAGAGTGATTTAGCACGCTCGTGTCATTCCGCCGCAGCTTCAATTAGTTTATGAATGGAATGTAAAAAAGCTTAAGGTCCGGGGTCCCCAGCTAATCTATTTCTTGTCATACGTTGTATGACCCGCCGCGCACGAACGTGATACAATCTATTTCGTGACTCTTATACAAACATTTTATCATTTCACACTACTACAGCTAGAATATTGGGCGCGACATCTGTCCGAATCAGAAAATAGGTTATTTGGACAATAGTTTATGTCGGATCCTACCGTACGATTTTCTTAAAACTTTCCATTGTAGTGCGATGCACTACTGGGCCGCGCCGCGCATCAAATAATTCTTCTCGCAACGTAGATCGGCGAGATGCACCACTGGGCCTCACCGAGCTGCGAAGGATTGACATCGTGAATCAAAACTTTCCATAAAGTATGGTGGTTATAGGACAAAAAATATGTGTAAGTTTGAGCAAGTTTCTATATGAGCCAAGTTTAAGATATTTAATTTCCTTAAACACAAAAAATATATCCAATTCGGTGGTTTTCAGTGGTTCCAAAGCATATATCTGGAGATCCAACGATACGATTTTCTTGAAACTTTCTAGATATAAGTAAAATAGCTTTAAGACAAATAATTCGTGCAAGTTTGGATAAATTTCTATGTGCCAAACTTGAGATATCATTTCAAACACACGAAAATAGTGCTGTCGGACAAATGTCGTGTAACAGTGGAACTGAAGTGATCCCACCTACGACATACGAGTGAAAACTGAGAGGTGGCGCGGCTGACATTAGCAATTAGCTTTTCATTAGCTTTCATTACGTTTGAATTATCGCATATACTCTGCATACACCGCGCCACCTTTCAGGCGCGCCACCTCTCAGTTTTCACTCGTAGTTGGGAACTCCACTGTAACCCTACAGCTACTAGGCAGTGCGCCATCGACAATAAGACGCGCGCGCTGACCATTGAATGGTTTTTAGCTCTTATTTCGGCCAGCACATTATTTTGGAAACAATTGAAAAGTTATAATACTTCCCATATAACAATTTTGTTGAAATTTGGTCAGCTTACGTAAACACTTATGTTCTACTGAACCTAATTTAGTTTGAGCAATTTAGATGGTCAGAATTTGAGTTATCAACGAATTTATACCTATTTTGTCATTTTTAGACCTCTTAATCAAGGCCAATCTCTCCCAACTAAATTAGGTTCGGTAGTTAAGTATGATTGGAAGGTTCTGACAAATTTTCAGCATGATTCATGTTCAGGAACCGAAGATATGACAGAATAATACGACAAAAATCAACGAATTTCGTCAAATTACGCGACTTTTACACCTAATTTTGCTCCAAAAGCCGCGCACCATCAAATATGGCACCTAGGCGAAACTCGCTGATCATTCCAAAAAGGTATAATAAATTTGGCACTGTGAAAATTCTCACAGTCTCTAGAAAACGATGGTACAAAAATTTTGAAAATCTGAGCAACTTTATTTTTATCGTGCACCGCCTACAGCTACAAGGCTTCTCTTTCCTTATCTTTCTTTTAACGGGGTGTAGTGTGTAACTCATAACTGTAACAGTGCAGTTCGGACATGTTTTAGTATTCCTTACCGGCCCTCAGGCCCTGACTTTCCCGCCGCGTCCTCATGAGTATAACTGCAGTGCTGCTCGCGTGACCTCGGACACGCGACACGTGATCCCACGTGACCAGTAGCGCGGTAAGCGGGTTGGGGTATCAGGGTATAGCGGGGAGTCTTGGACGCGGCGCAGTTATAATTTAAAAAAGTTGAGTTTTGGTCATGAGTTCAGTAATCGTATTAGTTTTGTGCAACGATTCAAAGTCCAACCACCAACGGAATTAAAAAATATATTACCGTGCAATTATAAATATAAAGAACTAATCAAATTTGTATTTATAATCTAAATCACCCAATTAAATTTAAGCAAATGAGCAAAGCTGTATGAAATTTGCATTGTGAAATTCAAAGATGAAAATGAAGATTTGGTTTTGCCTGGTTGTTGTCGATTTGTTGTTTTGCTGCTCGAACTCTTTTATAAGGCTTGGGAGAAGACGTTCATCATCTTCATGTAAGTTTATTCGATTATTAATTCTTAAATTTAAACCCACTGCATCATATTATGTTTCTAAATCTAAATCCTAAAAAACTTCAAATCGCAATTCAATCTTTAAAATTATAATTATCATTATGGTACGACGCCAGTTGTTCGGACACGTTGTCTTAAAGTTAAATGTTAAAGCGACGTAGTCACGTCGTGACCCCCATTGTCGCGTCGTTTCAACTTTCACTAGACTACGCGTAGTATCGCGATACAGGGGGAGCCGCGCACTCGTGCAAGGCGGGTACTTGTAGCGCGATGCACTACTGGGTCGCGCCGCGCATCAAATAATTCTTCTCGCAACCACGTATGCAGATCGGCGAGATGCGAAGGATTGACATCGTGAATCAAGGCGGGTACGGTCGGGTCATACATTTACAACGTATAATCAATAATTATAACAAGTCACGAGATATAGGTATACAGTCAGTTGATAAATAACGTGACTTATTTTGGTAAGAAGGGCAGGATAATTCACAGTTCACAACCTTATCACTTATATAGTTTTAACATTTAATAATAATTTGTCACGATTAAACTTAAACTTAAAATGTACGAGCGTTAAAAATGTCACGTGACAGTCTAGTCATCCTAAAATTCACCAATGTTCCTCAAACTGAATAAATTGATTCAATCCTTCGCAGCTCGGCGAGGCCCAGTGCCAGTGGTGCATTTTGCCGATCTACTGTGGTTGCGAGAAGAATTATTTGATGCGCGGCGCGGTCCAGTATAGTGCAGCGCGACAAGACTGTAGACTGTTCACTGTTGTTTTGTGACTTGTACAATGTACCTTGTGCCATAAGCACATTACAGAACTGGGTCAGGAGTTCGTACCTTACCTACTTACTGGGCCGCGCTCAGCCTGTCATTCCGCCGAATCTCTATGTTTATGAACATGATAGCCTGAGGTCCCCAGGTAACTTACCTACTAATGATGACTATTCAGGTGGTGCAGTAAACGGAGGGTGGTCTGTTTGGAGAGGTTGGAGCTCTTGTTCCTGTGCGAGTGAGAGTGATTCTAGTGGAACACGAACTACTTCCAAAACTTGTAATAATCCAGTCCCGTCCTGCGGAGGTAACACGTGTACTGGAGCATCAACAAAGTCAGAGATGTGTGAAATGAGCTGTGGTCCTGGTAGGAATTTGTATTTTTTAGGGAAAGTCTCGAAACCTTTACAGTAAAAGATATTACTTTCTATTGGAGACGTGGAATAGTTTCATAACTTAACTGCTAATGCTATTAAGTACTAATATTTCAACTATGCCTCTATATTTATATTATGATTAGTATACTCCGACGTACCTGATAGTTGTGGTGGAACGTACACAGGCAGCAACATTGTACTGTCACCAGTCAACACTTGTATCGTCTCTCCGCCATTAACCACATTTATAAGTCGTGACAAATAATCCATAATCATATCCAGCGTGTATAAATCTGAAGACTACGTGGACTAACATGGCTGGTAACAACTTGTTCCCTGTTGCATCAGGAACCGTTATTACTCTCACTTGTAACCAAGGATACCAAATCAGAGGAGATAAGGCAATTACTTGTACTGAGGGGAGAGAGTTCGGGTATTCAACCCAACCTAGATGTGGTAAGTTCTGGTCACACCAGATATGAGGGAGTTTATATCCACAGGAGATTAAACAAACTATACTGATATTCAATTTTAATGGTAGTTTATATATTATTATTGTAAAGTCAGTTAACCAGGTAATCCCCCAGATAAATGTCAAGCTGGTACATATCGGGACTCTTCTCTAACAGACTGTACAAGCTGTGAACAGAACTACATCAGTGAACAAGATGGAGCTGGAGAATGTAGTCCTTGTTCTCCGGGAACTGTCTCCAACCAACAAAACACTCTGTGTGGTAAGGAAAGAAGTTATCTTTTTCCTGAGCAATGACATCCCGTTAAAAATCAAATTGCACTAGTCATTTCATTTTTACAAGTGGTGCAAAAGATGTATTTCTTGAACGTTTATTAAATTTAATCGCAGTATATAAATTGAATTAATCAGTTTATCATCCAGATAAATGTCAAGCTGGTACATATCGGGAGACTTCTCTAAAAGACTGTACAAGATGTGAACAGAACTACATCAGTGAACAAGGTGGAGCTGGAGAATGCAGTCCTTGTTCTCCGGGAACTGTCTCCAACCAACAAAACACTTTGTGTGGTAAGAAAAGAAGTTATCTTTTTCCTGAGCAATGATATCCTGTTAAAAATCAAAGTGCACTAGTGATTTCATTTTTAAAAGTGGTGCAAAAGATGTGTTTCTGGAACGTTTTTTAACTTTAATCGCAGTATAATATAGATTATAGATTAAATTACCCAATTGATCCCACAGATAAATGTCAAGCTGGTACATATCGGGACTCTTCTCTAACAGACTGTACAAGATGTGAACAGAACTACAACAGTGAACAAGATGGAGCTGGAGAATGTAGTCCTTGTTCTCCGGGAACTGTCTCCAACCAACAAAACACTCTGTGTGGTAAGGAAAGAAGTTATCTTTTTCCTGAGCAATGATATCCCGTTAAAAATCAAATTGCACTAGTCATTTCATTTTTACAAGTGGTGCAAAAGATGTATTTCTTGAACGTTTATTAAATTTAATCGCAGTATATAAATTGAATTAATCAGTTTATCATCCAGATAAATGTCAAGCTGGTTCATATCGGGACACTTCTCTAACAGACTGTACAAGCTGTGAACAGAACTACATCAGTGAACAAGATGGAGCTGGAGAATGTAGTCCTTGTTCTCCGGGAACTGTCTCCAACCAACAAAACACTCTGTGTGGTAAGGAATCAAGTATCCTTTTTCCGGAGCAATGGTTTCCCGTTAAAAATCGAGGCGCAGTAGTCATTTCAATTTTTTACCTGGGGTCCTAGAGGTATATTCCAGGTTCCTTAAATATTCGTTAATCTCAGTATATAGATTAAATTACCCAATTGATCCCACAGATAAATGTCAAGCTGGTACATATCGGGACTCTTCTCTGACAGTATGTACAAGCTGTGAACAGAACTACATCAGTGAACAAGATGGAGCTGGAGAATGCAGTCCTTGTTCTCCAGGAACTGTCTCCAACCAACAAAACACTCTGTGTGGTAAGGAAAGAAGTTATCTTTTTCCTGAGCAATGATATCCTGTTAAGAATTTCAAAATGTGCAAGTCATTTCAATTTTGTACCTGAGGTCCTAGAGGTATATTCCAGGTTCCTTAAATATTCATTAATCTCAGTATATAGATTAAATTACCCAGGGGGGGGGCCAAGTGGATATTTGTAGATATTTGTAGATTAATGTAGAATGGATAATCCACGAAAAAAGTGGATGACATTCTACAAATATCTACATTTATCTCCAAAAATTCAGTAGAATTTCTGGGCATTAACTTCAATTTCATCACGTTTTATATATGCTAAGTGCTTTAATGATATTATCTGACTACTTGTACAGTTCTTCTATGTTTATTTGAGTGTATTTACATGGAGATTATGGTCCATAAACACTATCATACAATAGAGAAAAGCAATGATCTAAAAGGGTGGAACTATCTAATTTAATGTTGCATATTATGGGGGGGCGGCGCGGGGGGGGGGGGGGGGGGGGGGGGGGGGGGGGGGGGGGGGAACTAAAGTTCTGATCTCTAGTACCGGTGTTGTCAGTCTGAACTTCCAACCATGCCATCCGCCTGACTAGGGAGAGATAAAAGAGGTACTGTTAAATATGGCAAAATAAAATTGTCACAAGGTGGAATGAGGAGGAGGAGGTGGAAGAGGAGGCTAGGAGGACTGTGGAGAAGGAGGGGACTGAGGAGAAGGAAGAGGAGAACTGAGGAGGAGGACTGAGGAGAAGGAGGAAGAGGATGAGGACTGAGAAGGAAGAGGAGGAGGAGGATGAGGACTGGGGAGGAGGAGGAGGACTAAGGAGGAATATTGAGGAGGATGAGGATCACTGATCGGCTTAGGGCAAGGCCGAGGGGTACTTTTTTATCTTAATAGCCGAGGCCGAGGAGTGCCATCTTAGTTAAGACCGAGGCCGAGGGAAGCCGTGGGGTGCTTTTTTGACCGAGGCAGAGGTCTATCCTAGTATATGCCCTTTGAATAAACGCCATCATGTAATTAGGAAAAAAAATAGGAATACTGTTTTCAGAAATGAGAAATGAGAATGTGTCGTACATATAAGGACTGAGGAGGAAGAGGATGACTGAGGAGGAGGAGGACTGAGGAAAAAGAGGACTGAGAAAGAGGTGGAGGAGGTTGAGGAGGACTGAGGAAGAGGAGGACGGAAGAGGACTGAGGAGGAAAAACACTCAAGAGGATCAGTAGGACTGAAAAGGAGAGGACTGAGGAGGAAAAGAGGAGGAGAATGACTGGGGAGGAAGAGTTAGGAGGGGGACTGAGGAGGAAGAATCAGAAGGAGGGGGACTGAGGAGGAAGTGTTAGGAGGAGGGGGACTGAGGAAAAAGAGGACTGAGAAAGAGGTGGAGGAGGTTGAGGAGGACTGAGGAAGAGGAGGACGGAAGAGGACTGAGGAGGAAAAACACTCAAGAGGATCAGTAGGACTGAAAAGGAGAGGACTGAGGAGGAAAAGAGGAGGAGAATGACTGGGGAGGAAGAGTTAGGAGGGGGACTGAGGAGGAAGAATCAGAAGGAGGGGGACTGAGGAGGAAGTGTTAGGAGGAGGGGGACTGAGGAGGAAGATTAAGGAGGAGGTGGACTGAGGAGGAAGTTAGGAAGAGGAGGACTGAGGAGGAAGAGTAAGGAGGATCAGGAGAAGGACTTAGGAGAAGGAGGACTGAGGAGGAGGATGAGGGGAAGGAGGAAGAGAAGGAAGAGTAGGGGAGAAGGAAGCATCTAAATTTTATTTCCGTAACAGTTTTTGTCCGTTTTTGTCCATTTTTGTCCGCTTGCGGATGGGGAGACGGAGGACTGAGAAGAAACTGTACAAGCGAGGACTGAGGAGAACTGAGGAGGAAAAGGATAACTGAGGAGGAGGACTGAGGAAGAAGAGGACTGAAGGTGAGGTGGAGGGGGAGGAGGTTGAGGAGGACTGAGGAAGAGGGGGAGGAAAAATACTCAGGAGGATCAGTAGGACTGAGAAGGAGAGGACTGAGGAGGAGGAGGACTGAGGAGAAGGAGAATGACTGGGAAGAAGGAGGACTGAGGAGGGGACTGAGGAGGAGGACTTAGGAGGAGGTGTAGGACTGAGGAGGATGATGGGGGAAGGAGGAGGAGTGGAGAAGGAGGAGGGGGAAGCATCTAAATGTTATTTCCGTGAGAGTTTTTGTCCGTTTGTATCCGTTTATGTCCGTTTTTGTCCGCTTTCTGAGGAAGAGGATGCGGATGGGGAGACGGAGGACTGAAAAGGAACTGTACATGCGATGACTGAGGAGGAGGAGTTTGAGGAGGACTGAGGAGGAGGGAAGGAGGTTGAGGAGGACTGTGAAGAGAAGGACTGAGGAGGAAGAGTTAGGAGGAGGACTGAGGAGGAAGAGTTAGGAGGAGGGGGAATGAGGAGGAAGAGTTAGGAGGAGGGGGACCGAGGAGGAAGAGTTAGGAGGAGGGAGACTGAGGAGGAAGAGTTAGGAGGAGGGGGACTGAGGAGGAAGACTTAGGAGGAGGAGGCCTGTAAAAATGTCCGCTTTCTGAGGAGGAGGATGCGGATGGGGAGACGGAGGACTGAGAAGGAACTGTACAATGTACATGCGATGACTGAGGAGGACTGAGGAGGGAAGGATGACTGAGGAAGAGGACTGAGGAAGAGGAGGACTGAGGATAAGGTGGAAGAGGGTGAGGAGGACGGAGGAAGAGGAGGACTGAGGAAGAGGAGGTCTGAGGAGGATGATAAGGAGGAGGATGTCAGGATGAGGAAGAGGATGAGTAGGAACACTGAGAAGGATGAGAAGGAGGATGAACCATCTAAATGTCATTTCCGTAACAGTTTTTGTTCACTCCGGACTGCGGAGGAGGATGATTGAAGAGGAGGAGGAGGAGGTTGAGGAGGACTGAGGAGGAGAAGGACTGAGGAGAAGAAGGACTGAGGAGGAGGAGGAGGTGTAGGAGGACTGAGGAGGAGGAGGAGGAGGAGGAGGAGGAGGAGGAGGAGGAGGAGGAGGAGGAGGAGGATAAGGAGGTGGAAGACTTGGGAGGAGGAAGAGGACCAAGGAGGATAAGGAGCAGTGTGGTTGACTATTTCGTAATCACCTCATGGGCAAGAGATCATTGCTTTGTGAAATTAGTATGAATTTATCTTGAGCCGTCCTGCAGGACATGCAAACTTTGCTGGAGTATAGTTTTGCGAAACAAACTTAACCCGACTCTTGGAAATCATGACATTTGAACTCCCTCAGCTTCGCTTTCTTGATCGAAAGCTGATGCTAAAATCCCCCCCCCCCTCCTGAAGAAGAGGAGGTCTGAGGAGGATGATAAGGAGGAGGATGTCAGGATGAGGAAGAGGATGAGTAGGAACACTGAGAAGGATGAGAAGGAGGATGAACCATCTAAATGTTATTTCTGTAACAGTTTTTGTTCGCTCCGAACAAATCATGAACATTTGAACTCTCTCAGCTCCGCTTTCTTGATCGAATGCTGATGCTAAAATCCCCAAAATTAGTTTTTCCCCCGTTCAGCAACAGAGTTTCTGCCGATCTTATGTCGATCGTTCCGAAGAGGGTTGTGCTGACCTCAGTTGCTGCCTCCGAATCTGCCTCCTCCGATTCTAACATATTATAAGTATCATCAGTGCAAGTGGGACAGTCCACTTCATCATTCTCACACTCAGTCAACTCTGCAGGGTCATTTATATCCTCCTCTCATTCAATCGGATGATGTTTTCATCTTCAAATATTTGCAGGAAAGGTAACTTGAACTTCTTACCATCGTCCACGACAGCCTTGGTACCTCGTTCCATGGCTTTCTTCAAGCTATCTATTTTGATGTCACTTGAACTCAAATCGTGGACCTCCTTCGTGTCATTCTTCCATGTCTCGTGTGGTAGTGGAACTTCTTCCCTGAAAATACTGCGTCCACGGGAATGGGCATAGGCTGTCATGTCATCTGCAAGAGCGAGCTCTGAGCGAAGATTTCTTTTCTCGCAGCCGTATGCTAAAGTTATGGCATCGAGATTTGTGCGGCGACCAGCAAAGATACCAGTTCGAATCCAAGCAAAGAGTTGTTCATTAGCATCAGATCCTAGTAGGTATGTTGTTACTTTTGCAGAAAAAGGAGATAGAGAATGAGTCCATCGCAAGTACATTTCAGATCTTTAAACGTCTGCCAAGTTATAAACTGACAACTATCAGTTATATTAGATTTCCAGAGAACAAAAAAAGACTTGCAGTACCAAGCCTTTTCTACTCTCTGCTCTGGACTAAAATCCTTGTCTAAGAAAGCCTCAGCTAGAAAATGGACACTCTTCAGAAAAAGTCCTGTGGCTGAATATCCTTCTCTCAAAAAATACTAGTATAAGCAGGACAGATCCAGAACAAGTGAAGGATCTTGACGGACAGTCAGATTCAAAGCACTGAGAGAAGTATAGGCAAGCATATAGGGGTTGTCCTTGATGAAATTATAGATGAGTGGTTACATCAAATATGGAACCTAATTCAGGTATTTAATGACATGTATGATTACTGGAAGCTTTCTGGAATCCAATAGATAAAACATGTAATGGATAAGAAATCACACAAATTTCTATACATTTTTTGTAGATAAATGTAGATATTTGTAGATTATTGTCAATGGATAATTCACGAAAAAAGTGGATGACATTCTACAAATATCTACAAATATCCACTTGGCCCCCCCCTACCCAATTGATCCCACAGATAAATGTCAAGCTGGTTCATATCGGGACTCTTCTCTAACAGACTGTACAAGCTGTGAACAGAACTACATCAGTGAACAAGGTGGAGCTGGAGAATGCAGTCCTTGTTCTCCGGGAACTGTCTCCAACCAACAAAACACTTTGTGTGGTAAGGAAAGAAGTTATCAGCTATCTGGGAGCGCAGAACATATTGTTTGAATCTGATCAAAAATGAGTGATTCTGTGAAATGATGCTCGGACTAACAAATTCTAGGTTTGTTAAAAATATTTAAATTTCAGAGCCTTGTTCAGAGGGTACCTACAGATCTGAAGATATGACAGCATGTGCAGTTTGTGGTCCGGGGAAACAGATAAACGATAACAGAGATGAGTGTGGTACGTTATATTGCTATCAATTTCCTGTAAAAAAGAAGACAGCATCAGGAACTCGTTCACAAAATTTCTTGACTTCTGAGAGCAGAGTTCGCTCATTAAAACTAACAACCTCAGTGCGGTCTTGTGAAGGGCTGCTCGTGGAGAACTCCCAGCTGCTGGGTAAAGAAGTGCGTGCTGTGGAGAATACAGTTGTCATGGTCTCGTGTCTGGCAGGGTACTCTCTGATTGGCTCAGAGCAGGTCTCGTGTCAAACAGATGGAACCTGGACAACTGTACCAACTGTCACAAACGAGGTGAGACTTTGAACTGTAGAGCAAACGACATCCAACTATTTTTTTATTTAGTAGAAAGTTTTATATTCAAAAAGTTATGGCAATAATTGGTCACTCTGACCATGCAGATTTACAAAAACACGACCTAAATATCAGGAAGGACTTTAGTTTGAGATCCTGAAGAAGCTTACAGTGTACCAGATTATCTTGTGTTTTCTTTTGTTCAGTATTGTGGCTATTACGACCAACACGGTACAATTGCGATCATTTTAGTTATAATTCATGTATCTTAGCAGGATCCCGTATAACCCTAAAGTGGTGTCAAGAATAGAGAGGACTTAATTAATTATACCTCTTTAATTCCGTTTTTGAATCACTTGCGGAGGTCAACATTGGGGCACTAAAATTTTTATTCCTGGCCTATGTTTATTTTTTCATGGTGATTTGAATGATCATTAAAGCTTTTGAACAGTCAAACAAGTTTCAGTTGTATATCTTTTACGGTTTTGCGGAATGTTCGTTAAAGTTGATGCTGTGGGGTCAGTAAAATGGATGGATCCTTATATGTTATAGAGAGTTTTTAAAACCATATTTTGTAACTGTGTAAAACATCTTTGTTCAACTATTTCAAGAAAGATGTGGGAAAAGGTTTTTTTTTTTTAGCCTGCCCCTTTTTAAAACTAAATTCCCAAATCTAATCTGAAACTTATTTTGAATCCCGCAAAGTCGGCAACCCCCAAAACCATCACAATATAAAACTAAAATCCCACTGTGGGGGGGTTTTTTTTTACCCCCTTGGCAAGTTAAAACATTTTAAGGGAGTAAAAGATTTTTAAAACCCCCCCGTAAAAATAAAAAAGATAGTGGGGGGGTACTGGGGCAAAAATTTCTACTTTTCGTTTAATTTTTATGGAAATTTTCCCCCTTAAAAAAAGCAAAATTTCCCCAGGTTAAAAAGACCCCACAATGTCCCCCCCCCCAGGGCATTGCTTTTTGGTCCCCCCCCCCCCAAAAAAAAAAAAATAGTAAGAGCCCCTCTATAAAAAAATTATCTGAGCTTTTTTATAAAAACCTCATTTTTAATTAAAAATCACGTGTAAAACCATGGTAAAAAACAACGGGGGAAACGTGGAAAAAGACCCCCAAATTTATTTTGGGCGGTGTCCCATGTGGGGGGCCCCCCCCTTAAAAAATGGGCCCCCCCTTTTTCCCCGGGGGCAACTTCTGCCCAAGGAAAAAACCCCTGGGCCCCCAGTGGGGCAACCCTTGGCCCCTTTCCCCCCGTGGGCCCAACCCTGCCCCCGGTGGGGCCCCCCCCACAAATTTTTCGTGGCAGTGGGCACCCCCCCCAGGGGGCCCCCCCCCCCCCTGCCCCCGTGCAAATGGGCAAAAACCGCCCCATGGGGCAAAACCCCCCCCCCCCAGTGGGGGGGACCCTGCCCAAAATGGGGGGAAAAACCCCCCCGTCATGGGGGCCCCCAAACCCCGTCCGTGGGCAACCCCCCGCCCCCGTGGGGGCAAAAACCCGCATGGAACACCCTGGGGCCCGTGGGGCAACCTGGGCCCCCTGGGGGCAACCCCGGGGCCCCTGGGCCAAACCCCCCCAGTGGGGGCCCCCCGTCCCAGTGGGCACCCTGTCCCCCGGGGCCCCCCCGCCATGGGCCCAAACCCCCCCCCATTGGGGGGGACCCCCCATTGGGCACCCCTGTCCCCTGGGGGGGAACCCCCCTTTTTTGGGGGGCAAACCCGTTCCCCCAAAATTTTGGGGACCCTGTCCCCGTGGGCAACCCTGTCAGGGGCCCAAACCTGTTTTCCCCCGTGGTTTAAGTGCATTTTAAAAGGGTTTTGTAAAAATAAAAAATGGGGGGGAAATTTTTTTTTTCGAGAAAAAATTTTCACCCCTTTTTTTTTTTTATTAAATACTTTTTAATTTTTTTACAAGTACAACAGAATAAAAAAATATTTTTTAAAAAAAAATTTTTGTCTTCCCCCCCAAAAGTTATCCCAAACAAAACCGGGGGTATTTGAGTGTGGGGAAAAAAAATGTCCCCTTCTGCCCCGTGTAGCAAAAGGAAAATTTTTTTAATGCAGAGAAAGATTTTTTTTTTTTTTTCCCGTTTGTTTTTTTTTTCCCCTTGGAATAAATTGAAAAAATTTTGGGCTGGGTTTTTTGGGTAAAAAATTTTTTTTGCAGTAAACCCGAACCCCCTCCCCCAAAAAAACAGCCCCCCGAAAAAAAAAACCCAACATTTCGGCCCTTTTGGGGTTTTAAAGGCAAAAAAACCCCGCCCCCTAATCACAGCCAGCGCAAACCCTTTTCTTTAAAAAACAAGCTGAAAACCCTTAAAATTTTTTTTTGAAAGTCAAATTTTTTTTAGATTCCCCAATAAAATGGGACAAAAAGGGGGAAAAAAAGTGTCAGCAGCCCCGATTCCCCAAATTAATTGACCCTTCCCCCAAAAATTCCCCCCCTTTTAGGGGTTTTCTAAAAAATCCGTCCTTAAAAAAATTTTCTCGGTTTTACGATCATCATTTTTTATAAAAAATCTTTTAAAACCAAAAATATAAAATTGGGGAAAACCCCTTTTTTTTAAAACCCAAATTTAAATTAAAAATAACACAAAAATTTTAAATTTTAAACACGAACTTTTTTTCCTTCAAAAAAATTTTTTTTTACAGATTTTCGGGGAAAAATTAAAAAAAATTTAAAACATAAAAAAAACAAAATAAAATTTTGGCCGTTTTTCCCCCAGAGCTGGACGAAAAAAAAAGTTTTTCCCCGCCCCCCTAGAAAGGTAAAAAAAAATTCCCGATTAAAAAAAAAAAACCCAAGGGTCCCCCTTAATAAAATTTTAAAAATCCCTGCCTCCAGAAGGTACAAAAGGCCCCGATTAAAATAAAAAAAACCCAAGGGCCCCCCCCCTTTAAAAAAAAATCCCCCAAAGCTTTTTTTTTTTTTCAAAAGGCCCATTAAAAACCGAGGTTTTTTTCCCCAGCGTAAAAGAAGGTTAAAAATTTGAACAATCCTCGAAATAAATTAAATGGTCCTACCCCCGGTTTTTAAGAGCCCCCCCCCCCCCGAAGAGCCCCCCCCCATGAAATGGGGGGTTGAATGTATTTGTTTTTTAAATTTTCCCCCCCTAAAAACCCCCCCTTTTTCATTCCCCCCGTAAAAGGGGAAAAAGGTTGTGAAAAAAAATTACCTTTCCTGGGAAAAAATGTTTTCTCCCTAACTGCCTACTTGACATTTTTAAAATCTACGATTTCCCAATCCATTATTTTCGAGAAAAGTTTGATTTAAAAAAAAATGAACCTCCCGGGGAGAACCCCTGGGGCGTAATCCCCCCCCCCGTAAAAATTTTGGGGAAAATTTCCCCCCGGGGGGTAGAAAAAAAAATATTCCCAAAAAAGCTTTAAAAAAAAAAAGTTTAAATAAAAAAATTAAACCCCTTTTGGGGGAAAATTTCCCCCCTTAAATTTCCCCCCGAGCAATGGGAAAATTTTTTTTTTTCCCAAATTTTAAAAAAAAACCCATTTTTTCCCCTTTTAAAAAAAAAAACCCCCCTAAAGGGGGAAAAAATTTTCCCTTTTCCCCCCCCCCGGGTGACCCAAAACCCCAAAAAAAACAAAACCCCGTTTTTTTTTTCCCTTTCGCGAAACCATTTGGTTTTAAAAAACCCCCCCAAACCCCCAAAAAAGGAAAAAAGTTTGGGGGAAAACCCCGGGGAAACTTTTTGGGTGAAATAAAAACCCCCCCCCTAAAATTTTCCCCCAAGGAAAAATTTTTTTTAAAAAAACTTGGGGGAGAGAAAAAGGGGCCCCGGGGCCCTTAATAATCAACCAAATTTTCAAAATTTTTTTTTAAAACCCCCCTTTGTATTTTTTCCCAAAAAATTCCCCCCTAAAAAAGGCCCCCCCAAATTTATTTAAAAACACCGATACTTTGAATTTTTGCCCCCCTTTTACTTTCCCCATAAAACGCCCCCGGGACTTTTTAAAAACCCCCCAAATAACTAAATTTTTTTGCCCCCGTTTTTTTTCTAAAGGTTTTTTAAAAAGGCCCCCCCCACTTATATACCGGGTTTCCCCAAAAAAATTTTTTGCCCCCTTTTTTAAAAAAACCTTTTTAAAAGGCCCCCCACCTTTTTAAATTCCCCCCGAAAAAAATAGAAATTTTAGGCCCCCCCTTTTAAAAACCCTATTAAAAAAACAAAAAGAAAAATTTTTTTTTATTTTAAAAAAAAATCCTTTTTTCCCCCCCCCCCCCCGGGCCCCCCCCAAGGCAAGGAAAGGGCCCCAAAGAAAAAACTTTTGGGAAATTCCCTTAAAAAAGTGGACCCGGGGGAAAAAAGGGAACCCCCCCCCATGAAAAAACAAAAAAAAACCTTGGGGGCCCTTAAAATTTAAATTTCCCCTTTAAAAAAGGAAAAAAAGGGGCCCCCCCACCCGGGACCCAAAAAACCTGCCTAAAAATTCCTTTTGTGGGTGGGAAAAAGGGAAAAAAATTTTGGGTGGAAAAATTTTCCCCCGTTTTTTTTTTTAAAAAAAACAAAAAATTTGGGCCCCTGTTTAAAAATCTAGCCCCAAAACGAAAAAAGGGGGCCCCCCTTCCCACTTAAAAAAAAAAACCCCCCCTTTCCAAAAAGTTATTTTTAAAAATTAAATTTTAATTTAAAAAGGGCCCAAAGAGAAAATAAAGGAACGGGGGGTTCAAAAAAAAACCAGCCCCATCCTTTTTTATTTATTTTTTTTTGGGGGGGTAATTATTAATCTTTTCCACCAAAGGGAACCCCTGGAAAAGGGGGAAAAAAAAACGTTTTAAAAAAATAACCAAAGGGACTTCCCTTTTTTTGAAAATTTTTTTTAAATTAAATTTTCCCCCTTTAAATTTTTTTAGGGAAAAACCCCGAGAAAAGGAAAACCCCTTTAAAAATAACCAAAAACTTTGGGGTTTTTTTTTTCCCCCCGAAAATCCCTTTTAAAAAACCCTCCCCAAAAAAAAAACCCCCCTAAACTAAAAAATTTTGGAAAACCCCCCTTTGGGGGGTTTTTCCTTTTTCCCGGGTTTAAAAAAAGTGGGCCCCCGGAAAAATTCCTACTTTGGTTTAAATAAAAAAAATAAAAAATTTTTCCCCAAAAAGTTAAAAAAGGGTTTTTTTTTTTAACACGAAAAGGGAAAAAAAAACACCAAAAATTAAGGCCTTTAAATTTCCTTTTGTTAAAAAAAAACCCCCTTTTTATTTTTAAAACCCCCCAAAATTTTAAAATTTTTTTTTTAAATTATTAAAGTTTGGGGTTTTAAAGTTTTTTAAAAACTCAAACCCAAAAAACCCAAAGTTTTTTAATTTTAAATGTTTTTTTTTTTGGACACGAAAAAGGAAAAACCCCCAACCCAAAAATAAAGGTTTGAAGGGTTTTTTTTTTGTAAAAAAAACCAAAATCCCTTAAAAAAGCCCCCCCCAAAATTTTTAAATTTTTTTATTAAAAAAATTTGTAAGGGTTTTTTTTTAAAGGGAATTTAAATTTCAAAAAAACAAAAACCAAAACTTAAATTGGAAAGGAAATTTTTAAAAGAGATTTTCAAAAGGAACCCCCCAAAAAGGTCCCCGTTTGGAAAAAAAAAAAAAAAACCCCGGTCCCCCCTCCTGTGAAAAATTTTGGTTTTAGGAAAAAAAAAATCCATTTTTTTTCAGGGGCCCCAAACAAAAACACCAAAAACCCAATTTAAAACCCCCCCGGGCCCCAAAAAGGGGGGTAAAAAAATTTTTTGCCTTTTAAAAATGTTTTAACAAAAATGAACCAAAATTTCCCCCCCAAATTGGGGGCCCCCCCGGGAAAATTAACCCTTTTAAAAAATAAAGGGCCTTTCCGGTTTCCCCCTTTTTAAAAATAATTTCCTTTTTGTTTTTAAACCCTTTAATATAATGCCTTTTTCCCCCCCTTTTTTTCCCCTTTAAAAAATGGCCCCCTTTTCCCGTTTTTTCCCCCTTTTTTAAAAAATAAGGGTTTAAAAATTTTTAAAACCCGTTTTTAACCCCTTTTTTAGAAAAAAGGGAAAAATAAAAAAACCTTTTTTACCCCCTTTTTTGATAAGGTTTTAAATTTAAAAAAAAACTGTTATACCCATTTTAAAATAAAGGGAAAAAAAACACTGTTTTAACCCCCCTTTAAAAAAATAGTTTTTTTTTCGGGAAATTTTAAAAAACCGTAATTTTTTCCCAAACCCTGGGGAAAAAATAAAAAAGAAAATATAAACCCCCCCTTTTTTAAAATTAAAATTTTAAACAGCTTTTAAATAAAAATCTTTTTTTTTCCCAAAAACCAGGAAAGGGTATTAAAAACCGGGGAAAAAACCCCCCAAACCCCCCCCAAGATTCCCGCCCGGAAAATAGGAAAAATTTTTTAATTGGGGGGGAAATTTAAAAATTTTTGTTTTTTTTAAATTTAAAATTTTTAAAAAAACCCCAAAAAAAGGGGTTTTTGGGAAACCCCTCTAAATTTTAAATTTTTTTTTGAAAACGGTTTTTTTTTGGGGGTTTTTTACCTCTTAAAAAACGAATTTTCCTTGGGGGAAAATTTTTTTAAATTTAATTTTCCCCAAAAAACCCCCCCTCCCCCCCCACTTTTGGGGTTTAAAAAAACTTTTACCATATCCCTGGGGCCCCCCGGGGGTAAAAAACCCAGAAATTAAAAACCCAATTTAAAAGCTTTAAATTTTTTAAAACCCCCGGGGGATGGGAAATTTCCCCCCCCTTTAAAAAACCCCCAAAGGGCCCCCCTTGGGGGGGGGAAAATGGGAAAGGAAACCTTAAAAAAAAAGATTTTCCCCCCGAAAAAACAAAACCCTTTTTAAAAAAAAAAGGAAAATTTTTTAGGGAAGTCCAAAAAACCGTCCCCCCAACCCCCAAAAAAGGGTGGAAAAATTAAACAAAAATTTAAAACAAAAAAATATTAAACCCCCAAAATTTTAAACAAAAAAGTAAAAAGAAAATTTTGAAATTTAAAAAAAAATTTGGGTTTTTTAAGTAAAAAAACCCCAAAAATTTAACCCCCCCAAAACCCCCCCCCCCTAACCAAACCCTTTGGGGCAAAATACCAAAAGGACAAGCCCCCAAAAAAACCCCAAAAAAACCCCAAAAAACCAACCCCGGGACGGTTTCCCGCTGCCCCTTTTTGGGTTCGGGGGGCATTTTGTAACCCCCCAAACCAATGGGAACCCCCCCCTTTTAAAAAAAAGGGGAAACAAACCCGGGCCCTTAAATTAGGGGGGGGGGCCCCCCATTTTGGGGGGAAAGGGGGGAAAAACCCCCACTTTTTAAACCAAAAGGGAAAAGGGGGTTTGTTTTTCTGAAAAATAAAAAAAAAGGGAAAGCAATAAAAAAACCCTTTGGTTTGGGAAAAAAAAAAAGAAAAAAAAATAAGGCCCTTTAAAAAAACTAAAAAACACTAAAAAATAGTAAAAAAAAATAAAACATGAAAAAAATCCCAATTTTCCCCCCCAAAAAAAAGAAAAATAAGGCCCTTTTTAATACTAATTTTCAAATTAAAGGGCCCTTTTCCGTTTTTATTCCCGGGGCCAAAACCGACCCCCCCTTTTTAAAAAAACCCCCCCCTTAAGGGGCCCCCCCCCGTTCCCCTCCCCCGGGAATTTTTAAAATCCCCTTCCAAACCCCCTTCCCCCCCCCCCCCCAAATTTTTTCCCTTTAACCCAAATTTAACCCCTTTAAAAAATCAAACCCCCCGGGAAAAAATTTTTTCCCCTGCCCCCAAATTTTATTCCCCCGAAAAAAAAATCACCCTGAAAAATTTTTAACCCCCCCGAAAAACCCCAAACCCCCCGAAAAACCCAAACAAACCCCCCCCAACCCCAAAAACCAAATTTCCCCCCGAAAAATCCCCCTTCCCCAAAAAATTAATTTCCCCAAAAAAAAAAACCCCCCCCCAAAAAAACCCCTCCCCCTTTTGGGGAAACCCAAAAAAAATCCCCCCGAAAATTAAAAAACCCCCCCGAACCCAAAAAAAAACCCCCTGGGCCCAATTTAAAAAACCCCCAAAAATTAAATCCCCCGACAAAATTCCCCAAAAGAAAAACCCCAAAACCCAAAAAAATCCCCCGGGAAAAAAATTTTTTTTTCCCCCCCTTTCAAATTTCCAAATTTCCCCCGGAAAAAATTCCCCTCCCCCGGGGGGAAAACCCCCTCCCCCAAATCCCCCCCGAAAATTTAAACCCCCTGGAAAAAACCCCTTCCCCCTTTAAAAATTAAAAACCCCCCCGCAAAAAAAATTTATCCCCCTGAACAAAATTTTAATTCCCCCCCCGAAAACCCAAATTTTCCCCCCCCCACCCATTTTTTTTTGGGGGCCACGGGGCCCCCGTGGAAAAAAAACGCCCTTTTTGGGGGAAAAACCCCCACCAAAAAAAATTTTAAACCAAAAACCCCAAAAAAGAGAGGTTAACCCCCGAAAAAAAACCGGGGGACCCCCGGGGAAAAAAGAAGGGGGGGGGCCCCTAAAAACCCCCCTTCCTGGGTAAAAAAACCCCGAAATTTTTTGGGGGTTTTCCCCCCAAGTTAAAAAATTTTTTTAGGACAAGCAAAAAAGTTTAAAAATAGTAAGCAAGTAAAAAAAGTTTAAAGATATTTTTATTTAAAATTTTTCTAAATTTTGGGTTTTCCCCCCTTCCATTGGGGAAAACCCAGGGGGGTTTTAAGGTGGGGGGGGAACATTTTTTTTCGGGGTACCAAAATAAAACATAATTTAAAAAACCCTTTAAAAACAAAAAAAACAAATAAAAAAAAAAATATAACCCCTTTGGGGGGGGTTTTTTTTTTTTATTTTTAACTGATTATGATGTAGATAATAAATTAGTCCATTAGAGACAATCCCCTCGCGAGGGGCTTTCAACAAAAAAAACAAAGAAAAACTATAAAACGCTCGTTATAATCCTCCACTAGCCCCACCTGACCACCTATATTTCAGCAACAGAACAAACCAGGCAGTTCAGGCACATACCAGTCCTCCTCCCACTCCTCCACCACCTACCAGACCACCCAACAGTTCCCCGTATCCTCCCAACCCTCCTTCGCTCCGGGCCAGCAGTACACCCAGACTGGGCAGGTTCCCCAGGTTCAGCAGGGCCAGTTCAGTAACCAGACCCAGTTCAACCAGCAGTACCAGCAGCAGTACCACCAGGCCCAGCAACAGAGGCAGCAGCAGCAACAGCAACAGTTCCAGCAGCAGCAACAGCAGCAGCAGTACACTCAGCAGTACGATCAGCACGGCAACTACGTACCTCATAATAACAACAGGTTCTGATGGAACTGTGCTGACACAGTGTAACGTGATGCCCATATAAGGAATTAACCTGATCTGTAGAACTGGGCTGTATTCGAAATGTTTGATGGAAATGATATTCGTGAACTGGGAGAGACACGTGATGCCTATTATATAAGGAGAGACTTGTTTCGTATGATTTAGTTTCAATATTCGACTTGTTAGAGGGGCCGGGCCTCTATTTTAAAATTTATTATCATTAGTGAACTCAAGTTAAGCTTTTAAATTGACAGAAATCGATGGAGTTGATAAGCTTTTTCAAAAACTGTTATTATATTAATATGCTCGTATCCTTTACGCGATAAAACTGTATGCTTAATTCCTGTTTACATAATTCTTGCAGCACATTTTATTTTTATGATATCTTACTCCTTCATAAAAATTTTTAGACGGTAATATATGATATCTTGTTGCAGATCAACGTTTGTTGTTGAGCAGTAGTTGGAATAGTTGTGGTCGAAATAAAACTGATGTCCTGGCCTACAGAATTCGATTTTCCCGGACATTTATAAAATTATAAAATGTTATGTTAAATGGAGTCTAAATAGTCTACAGTTTACTGCTATCATTACATAATATGTTCGAGAGGCAGGAATGGCCAGATCAGATGTTGAATGATATCTCGTTTAATTAATTATGCCTCCCATGGTTTAATTTTCTTCTTATAATATTTAATTTTATTTTTTAAATGTTGTATTTCTATCATGTGTATGGAATTAACTTGTATCCCTTGAAAGCTGTTATCGGAAGTAACTGTATTCTCTTTTTCATTTTACGATGTACGAAAGGTACGAATTCTTGCGGGCCAGGAACTGGTACTGTACTGGTACTGGTACTGGTACTGGTACTGGTACTGGTACTGGTACTGGTACTGGTACTGGTACTGGTACTGGTACTGGTACTGGTACTGCACCAGTGACTGTAACTGTAACTTTACCAATTACAAATTGCGTATCTCTTACCAAGGCTAATGAATGTTTCATTATCTTACACCACATTCCTGCACTGGGGCTGGAGCCTCTTCTAATCAGAGACTCCTCAATTATAACATGATTTATGGAAATTAAATACGTTAGACTATATTACATAATAAGTCACCATGCCTACTATCCTTTAAGATTAGCATTACAATGTGTGATTAAGTAAGTACGGACAATTCTTTCTTGATTGAACACCTGTTAAAGGCGCCCGAGCCACATGTTCTGGTTACCATAGCAACTAGAAACCTGGCAAATCGTTGCATCTTAAGCAAGGGCAAGTGGTCAGCGCGCCTTGCCTGCCTTGCCTAGTTTTGTTCTGCTTAATAAAAGGGATGAGGCTAGATAATAAGTACTACTGAACGGTTGAATGGTTTACTGTGAGTGTCACTGCACTGCGTGTGTTTCCAGGGTTACGGTTTACTGTGAGTGTCACTGCACTGTGTGTATTTCCAGGGTTACGGTTTACCGTGAGTGTCATTGCACTGCGTGTATTTCCAGGGCTACGGTTTACTGCGTGTGTCACTGCACTGCGTGTGTTTCCAGGGTTACGGTTTACTGCAAGTGTCACTGCACTGCGTGTATTTCCAGGGTTACGGTTTACCGTGAGTGTCACTGCACTGCGTGTGTTTCCAGGGTTACGGTTTACTGTGAGTGTCACTGCACTGCGTGTATTTCCAGGGTTACGGTTTACTGCGTGTGTCACTGCACTGCGTGTATTTCCAGGGTTACGGTTTACTGTGAGTGTCACTGCACTGCGTGTGTTTCCAGGGTTACGGTTTACTGTGAGTGTCACTGGGGGGGGGGGGGGGGGGGGGGGGGGGGGGGGGGGGGGGGGGGGGAGCCAAGTAGATTTTTGTAGATATTTGGATAATGTCATCCACTTTTTTCGTGAATTATCCATTTACAATAATCTACAAATATCTACATTTATCTACAAAAAATGTATATCTCAAATATGTGCCCAGAAATTCTACTGAATTTTTGGAGATAAATGTATAAATTTGTAGAATTTGTAGAATTTTCGTGAATTATCCATTGATAATAATCTACAAATATCTACATTTATCTACAAAAAATGTAATCTCAAATATGTGCCCAGAAATTCTACTGAATTTTTTGAGATAAATGTATAAATTTGTGGAATGTTATCCACTTTTTTCGTGGATTATCCATTCTACATTAAATTTAATCTACAAATATCTACAAATATCTACTTGGCTCCCCCCCTGTCACTGCACTGCTTGTATTTCCAGGGCTACGTTTTTCATGCAACAGCGTTTGTATTTGTAAGAAATTGCAAGTAATCCTTTTACTACTATCGTTGTCATGATCGTTATTAATATTAGCAGTTACAAGTTAGGCTGCTTTAAGTTTAAGTTACATTACATGCAATGAACCCCCCCCCCCCCCCCCCCCCCCCCCCCCCCCCCCCCCCCCCCACTGGACACCTGCTGCGGTATACTACTATTACTTCCTCATTAACAATGGCTAACTAAGGATGATAATATTGTTAGACAGTAATACTAATAACTTAAGACTAAGTTTAAACGTTAGAACTAGACTTAGCGTTATACAATTTACCTAAGTTTTCAGTTTTGTCCATTAACGATGGCCAACTAAGGATGATACTAGTGTTATAATACTACTAATAGTAATACTAATAGTAATAGTAATATGTACTGCTTAGTATTAGTATACGATAACTATAAGTATAAGGTCAACGATTAGGCCCTGGTTTATAGCCCCAGTTTTAATATTTGCCTACTAGAGCAATGCCAATATCGTGTAATCGTAAATTTAAACGTTAGAGTTACTGTTAGACTTAGCGTTTTACCTAGTTCTAGCATCTAAGTATAGTACTATTTTTCGTGGTCGTCCTTGAGCGTTGTTCGTTCAAATTATGTCAGTTCACGCAATGTCCGGTTAAATAACGTCGGATGAGGTAGTCGTTCAAAATATAAATAATAATATTAATGGCAAGAGTTTTAGTGTTTAGGGGAGTTTTACCTCGTCCGCGAGCTCAGTTCACAGCTACAGTTGGGTTAGTTTCTTCATTTTATTTCGTGACTCTTACTGGGCGGAGCTCACGCGCTCAGCCTGTCAAGGCATTCCGCCGCAGCTTCAATTAGCGAGCGTGCTAAATCACTTTACAGTCGATCTTCGAAATTGTTCTAAAAGGGCCCCCGACAGTTGAAACCAATTTCAATCGATGTATTTTCAGACGCTGATTTCGATTGAAGTTGGTTACAACCGTCGGGGGCCCTTTTAGAACAATCTCGAAGATCGACTGTAGAGTGATTTAGCACGCTCGCGTTGCGACCCCCACGGTCGTTTCACACTTTATCGTCCTGACCCGTGCGCGGCGGGTCATACAACGTATGACAAAGGGCCAGTAGTGAATACTTACTAAAACATGTCCGAACTTCTACACCCCTGTTAAAATGATAAGGAAGGTTAAACCTTGTGACTTGTAGTAGTGTGCACTGATAAAATGTTTGACGGATGTTACTCGTCTAAATTTCTTCGAAGTAGCGCGCGCCGCTTTCTTCTCGAAATGTTATGGCCCGACGGCAAGTGCTACGAAGTAGCGCGCGCCGGGCCAGACCATTAACAATGGTCAAATAAAATGTGTGTAAGAGCAAAGAGTCACACTCACGAAATAAATTACCTGGGTACCTCAGGCTTTTTCTGTTCATAAACAACATGATACAACTGGCCCTCAGGCCCTGACTTTCCTGGCGTCCTGAGTCATGAGTACTGCAGTGCTGGTCGCGTGACCTAGCGGACACGCTACACGTGATCCCACGTGACCAGTTAAGTAGCGCGGTTGTATCACGTTGTGACCCCCCCCCCCCCACGCGGTCGTTTCCCCCTGACGGCTCCCCTGTATACAGGGGAGCCGCGCACTCGTGCTTACTGGGCCGCGCTCAGCCTGTCATTCCGCCTAATCTCTATGTTAATGAACATAATAGCCCATGGGGTCCCCAGGTAAACTCATGCGCGGCGGGTCATACAACGTATGTGGTATGACAAATGACAATAGCGCGGTAAGCGGGCACTATAGCGGCACAGTTCTAATAATGTGTTTTTGAAGTGTTTGGTCATGGGACATAGTGTTGAGTTTAGCTGCAATTTCGAAAGTTTTGCGCAACGATTCTACGTTCAACGGCACTTTACACTTTATTACATAAGTTGTGACGAAAGAAAATATTACCTTGGCCGTGCAATATTACCGTGCAGACACCAATACAATCAAATTTGTATTTATAATTAACGGGTGATACTTGTAAAAGTCCAACTTGGCGCGCGTCCTGGTAGGTTGTAAACCTACAAATTTATAATCACCCAATTTAGGAAATGAACAAAGCTGTATCAGTATGAAATTTCCATTGTTAATTCAAAGATGAAAATGAAGATTTGGTTTTGCCTGGTTGTTGTCGATTTGTTGTTTTGCTCATGCTGCTCGAACTCTTGGGATATTTTTAGGAGGAGACGTTCATCATCTTCATGTAAGTTTGTTCGATTATTAATTCTTTAATTTAAACCCGTACGCGTACCCACTGCAATCATGTTTCTAAATCATGTTTCTAAATCCTAAAAAACGTCGACACTTTAAGTTGTATCAAATCGCGAATCAATCTTTAAAATAATAATTATCATTATGGTATAGTGTTGAAAATGTCACGTGACAGTCTAGTGATCCTAAAATGCACCAATGTTCCCAAGACTGTTGTCTTGTGAATTGTGCCATAACTATAAGCACATTACAGAACTGGGTCAAGAGTTCGTAACATACCTAATGAATGATGACTATTCAGGTGGAGCAGTAAACGGAGGTTGGTCTGTCTGGAGAGTTTGGAGCTCTTGTTCCTGTGCGAGTGAGAGTGATTCTAGTGGAACACGAACTACCTCCAGAACTTGTAACAACCCAGTCCCGTCCTGCGGAGGTAGTACGTGTGTTGGAGCATCAACAAAGTCAGAGATGTGTGAAATGAGCTGTGG